CCTGGGGCTTAGTTCTGTTTTCCAGGAGAGCAAGAAACACAAAGACCCGCATCCTCACCTTGACACCTGCCCCTGGGTCCCTGAGAAGTTTCCGGTCCCCCATCGCCCACGTCCTGGCCACCAGGCGCTGCGGGATGCTCCTTGCACTGGCAGAGGACGCCGGGAAGGTGGAGAGGCCAGGAGGGGGCGGGAGGCGGCCAGCACTCCCACAGACGGCCTTGACCTGGTCCGCCTCTGGCTGAGGGGAATGGGTCTGAGGACCTGGAGCGCACTGGAGAGGGCGGCGGTCCCCATCCCCTGCTGGCGCGTGCTGCCGGGGCTCCTGGAGCCGGCACTTCTCGCCCCACCCTCCGGAGCCCCGGGCACGATCTGGGGGAACAAAGAGGGAGCTGCTTCCCGAAGCCAGAGCCTGCGCTGCCCCTGAGCCCCCCGGGGAGGCGACTGCCTCTCTAGGACTTGCTCGGGAGGGGACGGCGAAGTCTCGGGTTATGCAGACAAGGGCGAGCCTGGATACCTGCAGGCCACCTTTCTGCACCCTTTAGGAGACAGGGTGGGGACAGAAGCGCTCATTTAACGTCTCCGGAGGGTACCAGCCCTGTAGGGGGACCACCCGGTGCCAGCGAATTCATTGCTAGATACAGCAAGTGCTATTCCAGGGGTGGTCAAGAGTCTCCTCTTGCTCATTTATAATAGCTCTATAAACTCACATTAGGACAAAACAAACAACAAACTAACCATCGACCCACCCATCCTAGGGCCTTTTATTTCTATGCCTAGCAAGACGGCATTGCAGTTAGGTACTTATGGACCAGATTTCAGGTCACCTAAAGTACAAATAGAGAATATTTTGTATTGCAACCTTATTACCCTCCCTCTGCATCCCTCTTTCTATCCTCTGTGTATTTACTATCCTGCTACTTCCTTCCCATAGGCTGTAAGCCCACAGTGCACAGCGGCACCGAGTTGTCACCCCCACCCCTCGCCTTATTTCATTTTTAGCATCCTGTATTGAAGTCAGCAGGGCTCAGCGGTATTTGACCGACAGTTACCTCTTGCCTTAAGCTCAAGAAGAAAAAAAAACGTAGCCGGGTTTCTGCGCATGCTCTGCTCTGCCAACTGCATCCTATGATTCCAAACAGGTTACTGTAGAACATACCGCGCCTGCCAGCTCATTATATAATGATTTTGTGTAAACCGATAGAATGGGGCCGCCGGAACGTTAAGGAGGTTGACAGAGCAAAGCCGGGGAGACTCAGACCAGGTCCCATCTCTGGGCTTGCTTTGCTTTTATTAGGTAGCTTTTTATAGATGAGAGGATGAAAAAACAGGAAAGGCAATTTCCTCCTAATGACACCTGCTTTGATCTGGTTGAGTGTTTGGGTCACACTTGGCCATTCTACCTTTCACATTTGCCCCCCTCTTTGGGATTCCTAAATTATGCTGATAGTGGAAAATTAAGGAGATTATGATGGTTGGTTGTATGTAAAGAAAGTTTCAGGTCTTTTAGGTGCTGGGTAACTCTTGAAGTTCTTTCAAAGCTGCAAAAGTGGCTTATACATGTGGAAAATAATGAATCTGAATGTTTGGAGTTATAGAGTCAAGATTGTTTTTATGTTACGTTGTGGTTGATGCAGCCCCAGAACTCAAGTGTTTTGTTCTCATGTGGAGGTGCTAGTGGCTGAGCTCATTTTTTTTTTTTTTCAGGGAACTTTTTTTGATAATCATTTTCCTCTCTGAAAGCCTTGTACTTTTTTTTTTTTTTTTAATTAAAAAAATTCTACTCAGGTCATACATAGTGAGCCCCGAAGAGCTCCCTAGGATCCTGGGGTTTGCTTTACCATCTCCCCGCTCTGGGGCTTAGCCCAGGCTGACTGGGCCAGGGGTGAGTTTAAAGAGTAGCCAGTACCACCTGGGTAATGTAGTCCCTGGGCTAGTGGGATGGGGGCACGGGTTCCCCACGGGATGGTGGCATTTGGGGGTGTTTGAAGCCGGGTTCTGGCTTTGGTGAGGTTGGCATTCTGAGTGACCATGCAAGTGGCATCGGCCTTTTGCCTAGTTAAGGGTGTGCTGCTTGGTCCCCCCTCCCCCCCCCCAGGCAGTGGCCTTGAGAGTTCTCCTCAGTACCTTTTCCTCTAATGTGCCAGGGTGCCAGGGAAGGATCTGCCTAGGTGGGAACCAAGGCCACTGGCGATAAACTGAGCAGAGAAGTGAGAGTGTGTGCCAGCACCTGGTGCCTGCCAGTTCCTCTTCTCTTTTCTCCCTTCCCCAAGATGCTGGTGTGTGTGTGTGTGTTTGTGTGTGTGTGTGTGTGTTTCTATCTCTAACTACGCTTCCCTGGGTAAGTAGAGTGAGCCAGCCTCACAATGGCCTGGGGGACCGCTGCCTGTTAGAGACCCTCCCCATCTAAATAGGTATCCCTATATGTTAGCATTCAAATGAAAATCAGCACCCAAGGAAATACTCTCATCATCAGCAGGAGGTTCACTCCAAACATAGGCTCCTTGGCATTCAACACCCAGGCCCGTGAATGGGCATACTGTTACTTACCATTTATTATGCAGCACAAATTGTGTGTGTGTGTGTGGGGGGGGGTAGTGAGGTCAAGACAATGCTTCAGTAAGGTAGGCACACGTACAATGAAAGGGAACCAATGGGGAAGGAAGATGTATTTGTTTCATTATTAATGAGCTCAGGAGGCTGAGGACAGCGAGCTGTAACCTACATTGCGGGCCACTCTCATCTGAGGATGTTTCCAGAGAGCTGGTCTATTTTGGAGTGACAGCCACTGCCTCCCATCACGCAGGATTCCATGATTTTATTAATTGGGTGAGGCCATTGGACACTCATGGAGGAAAGGTGGATAATGGTGTGCAGAGCTTTGTTGTCAGTGAATTTGGGGGTGGGGTTGTGTGGTTTTCTTCATTTTGTGTTTGTGTGTGGCTTTCCCTATAATGGACAGGGGCAGGGATGACCCAGGGTCACCTACAGCTTATCTGTAAAAAGCTGAGCACTGTTAAGGACGCCGGCTTGGAGGACAGGGTGCAGATATGGAAACCACACAGAGCTGGATCTGGCTTGGCTTACTCACTAACCACAGGGTCTTGGGCAGGTCTGGCAGTCTTTCTGTGCTGTATATTCCTTCCATGAAATGGATGGGAGTGGGGGTGATAATACCTGCTGCTAGAGTTGGGGAAATAGTAACAGGCACAATCTCTGCAGCCTGGGGTTTAATGGGCACATTGTACTTGCTGAATCATTAGTCATGTTTATAGTCACTTACCTGCTATGCAAGAGGTATTATTGCTTAATACTTTAAATAGCAAGTACTTGACTCTGGCTTCTCTCTTTCTCACTCCCTAATCATTCAGCCACCCAGCTTTGTCCTGTGCAGCGTTGCATGTCCCTCTGAGTCTCTGCGGGTCTCCTTATGGCTCTTGCCTCACAGTATTGTAACTAATTGCCCGGATTCTTGACTGGGGCCCAATCTTGAACATTAGCTGAGGCCCTGGGCCACGTCTGTGTGGCTGACTGCTAACCCCCAGGGCTTTATTTGTTAAATGAGTAAGTGAGAGAATAGATAAGTTTAGGGTCTAGAGGGGAAAGCCGGGCCCTCATCATAATACAGGTCTGGCATCTGCTACAAACGGAGGGTGATGGTTAGAGTAATGGCTGTTCATTCCTCTATTCATCAAAAAAGAAAGCTATGACATATTCCTGGGCCTCCTCAGGGGTTGATACCTGTGGTGGGTTTCGGGGAAGGGTACGGAGGTCTGTGGCAGCTAGAATACTGGGGTGGAAGTCTAGAGGGATTACCACTGGAGAGGAGTTGCTGGATACTCCTCATCCCCAATTGAACACATAATGATTGGGGTTCCCAGGACAGAGTCAAGTCTGCCAGCAGGATGTAGACTTAGCCACACGGTTAGCCTTTTCACTTGGGTGGCATGGTGGGGATGAGAACAAACCTGGGGGACTACGTCTGGAACTAATTGTCTTGCCCATTGCTCCCTCCACTATGCCCCAAGGTCAGGATTTGGTGCTTTGAGGGCAATTATGGAGTCAAAGTAGGTTATAAAGCCGGGACAGCAGTATGTGCCCCAAAGAACACGATGGGTGGGCAAAGGGATGACATTTGGTGCCTGCTCTGGGTGCCAGAGCTGAAGTTGCACATTTTCTCCCAATTGGCCTAAGCCAAGAGTGTGTTGAGCTATGGCAGGGTCTGCTAGTACTCCTTCAAGAGACCCAGACACAGAAGGCCCAGGGCAAGCTTGGACGCAGGGGTGGCATCCTGTGGCTGCCTCTTGGGAGTTGGAGAGGCACACTGTCAGCCAAGGGTCTGAGGAGCCCCGATGTTGGGCCAACACAGACCTTCCCTGACTTCCGGAATGTATGAATCTACTTATGTTTGCATTTGCAACATTTCACATGCTCAGTATCAGTAGCAAACCAAGCTTACTTTTGTCAGTTTTATTCTGCATTTTAATTTTTATCCACAGAGTGTTACAGTCAGTGAGCTGAATTTTGATTTGGTTAAGCTTTACAGAGGTAGGAGATGCATGAGGGGTGTGTGTGTGCACCCATGCCTTGTTCTTATACACCAAATCAACATTTTCAAACATCACAAGAACCAGAAACTCCTGTGCCCACATCTGCCCATCCCTCTGTGCTTTAGATATTCAAAACCACAAGCCCTCCAAGATTTGTGAGCCCTTAAATACAACAATGGAAAGAAAAATGCCAGCTCTTCAAGGGCACAGTCAGGTGCCCTCAATAGGGCACTGCAATGAGGGAAGGGCTTGTTTTGGCCACATGAGTTGCTAGGTTTGTAGGACTATTTCTGCATGATCCACTCTTGGGTTTTATTTTGGATTTTGGATTAGAAACAATAAGGATCACAAAGCTGTCAGCTCTAAAGCAATGCCTAACAGATCTATCACAGTATGGTGTTGTTTCTCCTCAGAATCAGCAACAGCACCGCAGTGTGTCCCCAGTCCTACCACAGTCACAGGGACTTGAATTACCCAAGATCTTTATCCAAGGCCCCTCCCAATCAGGCCAACTGCTTTCAACAGTACGAAGGAGCATCGCCAGAGCCCATGCTCTGGGCCCTTGGGGACGTTCCCTCTTGGTTCCCGCTTGGTTCGAGGCAGATAGAGAAAGCACCGCAGAATATTTGTCCACCCCAGGGTTCTTCTGAGTTTTGGCGGTGCCTGAAGCATATTGATTCGTTCCGCGTTGCCAAACCATTAGAAAAAGATATTCCTTTCTTGCAGAAAGACTTTTGGTTCTTGGCACATCTGTAGCAGTTCAGTTGACTCCCCATGGAAGCCCGAAAGCCACTGTAGCTGCTAAATGTTAGGTATTCACACGATGCAGTGGAAGGGGCAGCTAAGGTGGGTTTTGTTGTTGTTGTTTTATGGTGACTCAGATTCTGGGGTCATTTCTGCCCCTCACTTGATTATAAGGCTCGGAGCAAGTTCCTTAAATTGTCTGCTTCTAAATTTCCTCATCTGGGTAATAGAGAAAAATATATCAATCTTTCTAACTTTTTGGGGTGCTGTTATTAGGATATGATGACAGAGGAGAGTCGTAAGTGATTTCGAAAATTTACAAGGGAAACAGAAAGGCCAACTCCCCCGAAACCCAGAGGTTCCATTGGTGTCGTTGCTCTGGAGAAATGCTGATGAGGGTGCACGGGAAAGGCACTCAAAGAGCTCACTTTAAACAAAACTGTCAATTATACATTTTTTAGGAGCCTTATTACCTTTATTGGGTAATAAAGGTAATAATTTTAAAGAAGCTGATTGTACGTATATAATATTTTGTGGTGGCCGGTGTTTCTTTGTTTGGTTATTATTTATTTAATATGGTTTTGTGATTAGAGTTTATGATTCCAGTGGACACTGGTAGATAGATAAGTTTACTATCTTATCTTGAACGTTGTTTTGCTAGAAGAAAAAGTGATGGCTAGATAATGGATTCCTCTAGGTAAGTTTGCTTCTTTCGCTGAAGTCACTTTGTAGCTTAAGAAGTGTTGCTGTAAGTGCTCAGTGACCTTGAGCCTAGCGGCCCGTCCCCTGCGCTCTTTTCCTTGATGTGGCCTATAACCTCTCGTGGTGCTTCCTCCCTGTTTGTCTAGAATGCCAGCAGTTACTCTGCGGAGATGACAGAGCCCAAGTCGGTGTGCGTCTCGGTGGATGAGGTGGTCTCCAGCAACATGGAGGCCACCGAGAAGGACCTGCTGAACGGGCATCTGAAGAAGGTGGACAACAATCTCACAGAGGCCCAGCGCTTTTCCTCCTTGCCTCGGAGGGCGGCTGTCAACATTGAATTCAAGGACCTGTCCTACTCGGTCCCAGAAGGACCCTGGTGGAGGAAAAAAGGTAGGGAGGGCAGCTGCTGATGTATTGGGAGGCAGGGGAACCTGTGAAGGAAGCAACAGGTTTGGGAAAATCCGGTTCTGGCTGTTGGGAGGCTGAGTCTTCCCACTGTGTCACTGCCGTGGCCAGTTTATTTCATTGCTTTATGCCTGATTTTTTTCCTTGTCTAGAATATGAACAGGGGGGATTAGATGATTCAAGATTCGCAGTGGCTCTTAACTTCTGATACAGTACAAAGGATTCACAAAGATTGGCCAGTGTCTATGTATGCTGGTTTCTGGAGTGGACGCCCAGGGTCCTCTTCACTGGATGCTCTGTTAGTCTTTCAGGAGGGGACAACTTTTTTAATGTTTCAGAGCAAAAGGGAAGACAGGAGCTCCCTCCAAGGTCTGAAATGTTAAAAGGTAGCTGGTGACTTATCCTGACCTCTCTCAAAATCGATCATTTACCTTTAAGGATCTTTAAAGGACTCTCATCAGTGGTATTGATGGGATATAAAATATATAAATTGTTGTCAAATGAACCGTAGAAGAGACAGTGAGGATGCAACTCGGGGGGTGGTCTCTGGAAAGCCACACAGTTCGGGAGTTTGCCTCCATCTTGTTCCATGTGAACGGCAATTGACAAATGATGGTGATTTGAGTTTTCTCAGCATCTGGATATTCCTTTGCCAGCTCTAGATTTTCAGAATGTGTGGGTTTGTATTTCTGACCTGTTTCTTCCTGTGGCTCTTACTCCTCATCTCCTTCTGCTCCATGCCCTCATCATCCACCCATCTTTGGGGTGGGTGGGGGACCCATTGGGAGAGGACACGTTCACATCACCAAGAAACGATGGTCCAAGTTTCTAACGAATCACTCAGGACATCTTGAAAATCTGTGAGGAATTTGGAACAATGGAAGCGACTCACATACCACTGGAACACTAACTTTTAGGACTCCCAAACTGAAATTAAATTTGATCCTTCTTACCTTTTGAAAAAGACCCACCAAGACTCACTTTTAAGTTTTTCTTTCTTTTTTTCCTATTACCCTCATTTTGTTTTCCTCCTCTCTTCAAGTCAGGCCATTGAGACTGTTGGCATGGGCACTCTGGACTTCTTGGCAATAATTTTAGAACCTGGGTTGACTGGTCACTGGGACCTGTGAGCCACGTTGGTTGTTTTGACTTTATGTCTGTTCCCACAACCAGGAACAGGCAGATCCTAAGCCTTCTCACCGGCTGATTGTATAGCATTGTTATCTGACACATTTTCACAGTATCCAGCCTGTTTTGTTAAGAAATTCTGACAGGCTTCAGGGTTGGGATCATTCATTTGAGTCTATTGAAATTTCAATGTAGGGTTTCAGCCTTTTCCTCCTGAACTTGAAAAAAGATTTTACCGAGAAAATGTACTAAGCGATCAGTCCTTGTCGTGTTTGGCTTGATTTGTCTGTGTAGACAATTACGGCGATCCTATGGGCAGCATAGATCAGTCTCTGTCCATCTGACTCATGTGGCCCCAGGACGGTTGTCCTGATGGCTGAAAATACTTGGATGGCTCTCCTTTAAAGGGAAGATAGCTTGCAATGCAGAAACGCAAACATTTGAAAACTGGCAGAATCTTGGTTTGAAGTCCAACAGAACAGATACTCAACCAATGTTTGCAAGTGAAGAATATCATTGCCAGTCAGGTATGTGGCGTGTCCACTCCATATTCTCTGACTGTTAGAACTGGTCAAACTAATTGTCCAACTTAGCCAGTGGTGATGGTGTCTTAATCAGTGAGGGAGGGGCCACCACTTGGAAATTCAGCTCAAGATAGACACTTGCCCTATAGTAACCCCTGTAGACTCAGGAGGGGAGGAGGAGGAAGTGAGCCCTGAGGGACCCACCCATGAGTCAGAGGAGGTTGGGGCCAGAGGAAGCTGGGCATGATGGAGCTTCTGTATTCCAGTGGCTGGTTTGTCAACCAGCAAGGCCCAGTTTCTGGCTTCCTTCCGGACCCCCTCCTCAGCCGCAGCACCTGTGTCTGCCCTTCCCCCACCGTGTGCTACTATTTCCTTTGTCCTCGGTACCATGAAATTTTGAATATGGATGGTTTTTCACTCCCGCATAAATTCAGGGTGGAAAATACGTGTCCACCTTCTCACTGAATAGAAAGGAAACCTCATGGTTAAGGCTTGCTCAAGCACCCGAGCTAGCCGGGCAGGCCTGGGACTGCAGGATGGTGATGTCTAACTGCAGTTTGGCTCGGTGCGTGTGCCTCCCTGGCTCAGGGCCTCAGGGGTGCCCGAGTCCCTCTGACCACGGGGAAGCAGTGCTTCTCCAGGCCTGGTGCTCACGGGCTCTGCTCTGCTGCTTGCTGGACTGGTTGCCCCGTCAGGCTGGAGGCTGCCCGGGGAAGCTCGAGTTTTCCTGAATAAGGGGAGTCAGCTGCCAAGGTCCATCTCAGTGCTCACCGCGTCCTCATCACCAGCAGGCTCTCAAGTGCTACCTCTCCAGTGAGCTAGTAACATGGGGACCATATTTCCCCAACTAAGAGCTACCCCCAGGATGAACAATCCAAGTCAGCATTAAGTCTGGACCCAGGCATTGGGCTGATGCCTGTGAATTCCACCTGTATCTCTCCCACCAGGTTCACGGTCCCCTGCCGGCTTCCCACTACTCCTTCTCAGGTCTAGCTCCTTTCCAACGTGGCCTTTCTCGATTTGTCCCTGTAATAGCTGGTAATTGTCTCCATCCGTGCAATGATGAGGTTAAGCTGAGACGTCAGATCCCAGCCTCTTGTCAACTGTGACCAGCCTTTGGAGCAGGAGCTTTTTCTCTGACCATTCTCACCGTATTCGTTTTTCTGTCTCAATCAAATCGATCGCTTTGAATTGTTTAAATTCAGCTTTCCCTGTGGAGCTCTCTGTAACGACCACGCTGGGGAGGACGCCAGGGCACCACACGGGAAACGGGCCCCTCCGGACGTGGGATGTGAGAGCTGCAGGGCCTGGCTGTGTAGGGCCGGGAACAGAGCTGGGGAGCAGAAGTGATTGCCCAGGCCAGAGCCAACACTGAGCTCTGGCTGTCTGACTCCCAGTCCAGCTTTCTTTCCATCACAGACGCACTGGACGACTCCAGCAAGTTCCCGGGAAATCTTTTTCTCACACGTTTCTGCCAGAACATGGCACTACGACACAAAGTCGATACAGAATGCTGTAGCAAAGCCTGCTTTGTGATTAGAATAATCTTACAAACTCCTACGTAATTATATTAAAGGAAGAAGGCAGAGAAAGAGAGCGTCCTACCCCTTAGAACAGAGGTGTGCGTGATCAGTGGCACATTGAAGAAGGAGAGGTCAAGCCTGCTTCTTTAACATTCTTGAGCTTGACAATTGCCAAGCATTGACTATGGCCTTTAATAAAACATCTTGTATTTTCAGTTGTAGTTACATTTTCACCATATGATTAATGATGTCTTTGGGGGAAAAACTAGATCATATAATAGATTCCTAGTAGAGAACATAATTATAAAAGGAACTATTCCCCAGAGAAAAAAGTATACCCTAAGGATGATTTCACCAGCTTCTGACACAGTAATTACTTCCCCTCGAGGAATTCAATCACGTAGCATAAGTTGATGGGACGAAGGGTTTGGAATGATGTGGACTTTGGTGCCGGCGCACAGGCTGTTGCGTCAGGGGATGTCCCTGAACAATCCGGGTTAGTTGTTTTCACTGTGCCCTCATTGTGACTTACTTCTGAAAGCAGCATCTCTGTAGGTAGACACTCTGTTGGGAACATTTAGGACTCTGTGCTAAGAAGAGACTCCACATCCTGAGCGTCTGAGATGGAGATGTTGGTGGAGATGAGTTCGGACACTTACGTAGCACTTCCTGGCTTCCTGGGCTCATTCACACCAGGGTCTCTCTTTTCACTAGGATGTCAGTCATCACAACGTCCAAGTGGAGTGCTCGGGTCCTCTGGATAGTGCTCACCCCCACCTCCAGAGACCGGAGCACTTTCCATCTATAGAAGCAGGTCCACTTGGCTCAGGGGCTAATTCTGCCCTTTGTGCCCAGGGCATACACGAGGGTCAGAGACATGTCACAGGGCACGGGAGCACAAAAGGTGGGACTTGATAGCAGGTCTGTGGGATTGGAAACTAAGACCCAACAAGGAACCCAGTAAGCACCTGGCCCTGAAGAGGGCACCCCACTGGACCCTGATAGCATGGATGGGCCTCCCCGCATTTTATGGAACTGGTAGTGACTGCCTTGACAATTCGGACTGCTTGGATGTCAGTCACCTCTGCCATTCATAAAAGATCTCCTAGTTCTTTGGACAGTCTCCAGCTGTCCTGTCCCCTCACCAGGGAGGTGAGGCTGAGGTGTGTGGCATGCTTTCACGTAAACAGGTGATGTGATTCTTAGAAATTAAATACCCCTCCCAGGATTACCTTGTGATGAAGTTCAGGTCGAGAACAAAAGTAACCATATCTGGGGCTTTAGCGAGTTCTCTTTACTATTCCTCAGCCAGGCTGATGTCTTTACATGGTAACACTCCCGGGAATGAAACAGCATCTCCTACTTTGAAATCCGACCTCCAGCCTCCTCCTTGCCAAGTGCCAGGAAGGAGTTAAACAATCTGGGCAGCTCCAGCTTATCTGTATTGGTTTGCTTCTAAGCTATAAAAATGTGTTTCAACACCCTTCTCAAATTCAAGTTTGCTTTCTCTTAATTTCTGTAGCTATTTCCCAAGGCCTGTAATGACAGGCTGGCTAAAATGAGTGGAATGTGCCTTTAATAAATGCCTTTTAGGAATTCCATTAAGGGAAGACTGGAGTCTAACCAAGAGCTTGGTGACTTGATCCAACCCACTCAGGCAGGAATGGGAAGGGTGGCCAGTTAAAGGGGGACTGTACATATCCCAAGGCAGCAATGGGTTTTTAGGGGGTGGGCTGCTCAGGTTCAGGGGGGTTTCTATTCCCCTAGCATGAATGGATTACTCTTGTGCTTCTTGGGAATTATCATGCTA